GGAGGAGGTTACAGAGATAGGGAGGGGTGTAGGGGCTGGAGGAAGTTACAGAGATAGGGTGGTGTGATAGTGCTAGAGGAGGTTATGGAGGGCTGTGAGATTGCGTGGTCAGTGACACAGACAGGGAGAAACGTCTTCACAAGGTGGAGAGAATTCCAGTTCTGCATTAAACAACACTCTCTACCCTCAAAAACGTCAGGAGGGTAATTTACTATCATGCAGATACACCGAAATCTGCACAGTTATCTTGTTCATCATTTGAGTTGTGGAATGTGCTTCCAACATCTGATTGAAAGGGCTCATTGCCAGCCTCTGTGGTTTGCTGACTTGCTTACAGTTTTACATGGTAGACTCAAGTTTGTGTAAAACTGAGAGCTTATTAACTTTCAGTGAAATCCCCCAGTGCTGAATGCATGTAACTGTGTCAAACTATGCTCACGATCCTCCACGTGTCCTTACACCGCTGCGTAAGGTGACAAGAGAAGCTCAGATTTTGACCCCATATCCAGCCCTGACTTTAATCAATTTCCCAAAGGTTTGTGTGGTCTGAACTCTATAATTCCTGCTCCACCTTACACCTTTCCTTCCGGAAAACTTTCACATCTGTCCTGGTGAGTTTTAATTATTTTTGTTAATTGTTGTAAAACATCTTATACAAAGCGAGAAGTAGTAGATCATTGCATATTGTTATCACTGATTGGCTGTTCACCGCTTTTGTCTTAAGTAATTGCCTTCCATATTGGATGTCTTTCTCCACTGTATCTAACCCCGTGCTGTCCCTGCCCTGGGAGCGCACGATGCTAATGCTGGGTATAAAGTGGGGGACACACTGTCAGGGTCATGCAGAGGGATCTCTGCATGATATTCAACACACAGTGTGGAGTCATACAGCCTGGAAACAGACACTTTGGTCCAACCAGTCCATACTGAACATAATGCCAAACTGAACTAGTCCCACCTGCCTGCTCCTTGCCCAGATCCCTCCAAACCTTTCCCTATTTATGTACTTATCATTTATGTCTTTTTAATGTTGTAACTGTACCCACATCCATCATTCCTCGTGAAATTCATTCCACACACGAACCACTCTCTGTGTAAAACAATTGCCCATCCATGTCTTTTTCAAATCTCTCTCCACTCCCCTTAAAAATGTGCCCCCTTGTCTTGAAATTCTCCATCCTAAGGAAAAGACAACTACCATTAACTCTATCTATACCTCTCATTATTTTATAAACTTCAACAAGGTCGCATCTCAACCTCCTACACTCCAGTGAAAAATGTTCCAGTGTGTCCAGCCTCTCTTTATAATTCAAACCTTCCATTTCTGGCAACATCCTGGTAAATCTGTTCTGAACCCTCTTCAGCTTTATAACATCCCTCCTATACCTGGGCGACCGGAACTGGACACAGTGCTCCAGAAGAGGCCTCATCAACGTCCTGTACAATCTCAACATGACGTCACAACTCCTATACTCAAAGGGCTGAGCAATGAAGGCAAGCGTATTAAACACCTTTTTAACCACCCTGTCTATGTGTGACGTGAACTTCAAAGAATTATGTACCTGCACCCCTAGGTCCCTCTGTTCTACAACTCCACCCAATTGTATAAGTCCTACCCCTGTTTGTTGTACCAAAATGCAATACCTCGCATTTATCCAGATTGAACTCCGTCTGTCATTTTCAGTTCATTGACCCAGTTACTGACTTGACCCTCTGTAATCTCAGAAAAACCTTCTTCACTGTTTACAATACCACCAATTTCGCTGTCATCTGCAAACCATGCCTTCTGTATTCTCATCCAAATCATTTATATAAATGACAAACAAAAGAGGACCCAGAACCAATCCCTGTGAAACACCGATGGTCACAGGCCTCCAGTCTGAAAAGCAACCCTCCACCATTACTCTCTGTCTCCTACCATGAAGCCAACTGTATCCAATTGGCAAGCTCACCCAGAATCCCGCGTGCCCTAACCTTACTATATAGTCTACCATGTGGAACTGTGTCGAAAGCTTTACTAAAGTCCAAGGAAACAATGTCTACTGCTCTGCCCTCATCAATATTGTTGGTAACTTCCTCAAAAAACTCAATCAAGTTTTTCCTTATGAGGAATGTATACTTTCCTCCTGTATGAACTATAAATTCAATTTCAAATCCCAATGGATCAAATCCCTTCCCATTCACTCCCACTGTACACCATCCCAATGGATCAAAACCCTTCCCATTCACTCCCACTGTACACCATCCCAACGGATCAAAACCCTTCCCATTCACTCCCACTGCACACCATCCCAACGGATCAAATCCCTTCCCATTCACTCCCACTGCACACCATCCCAACGGATCAAATCCCTTCCCATTCACTCCCACTGTACACCATCCCAACAGATCAAAACCCTTCCCATTCACTCCCACTGTACAACATCCCAATGGATCAAAACCCTTCCCATTTACTTCCCATTGTCCGTTAGAGGACTGGTCTTCAATTGGTAGGTTAGGTGTCTAGGGGAATGGTCTTTGATGAAAATCTTAGGGGTGTAACTGGATGGTCTCCGATGGGATGGTGGGGGGTGAGGGGGTCTAGGGAGATGGTCGTTGGTGGGAACATTAGGGATCTAGACAGACGCTCTTCGACGGAAGAGTTGGTGCACTAGAGAGATAGTCTTCAATGTAGAAGCTAGAGGTTGAGATGGTTTGTCTTCAATGGTTTTCCAATGGGAAATGAATGTCCTCTTCTTGGGTTCAATCCCCAACCCCGTCTCTCTCTCTCGCACACTCGCGCGCACATACACACACACACACATACACAATGAGGCAGCAATGCAGCGGGACTGTGGAGGGCAGAGTTTATTGATGGTGGTCTCTCCATGCCCGCGGTGCCCTCACTGTGCCACAGCACCCTGCTGCATCCTCTTCATTAGCTCTTCGTCCTGCATGGACAGCTCTGTCAGTTTCTTGCCCATGCGCTCGTGGATGTCCAGGTACTTGGCGACGCAGCGGTCAAGGCAGACTGACTCGCCCTTCGAGAGCTCGGCTTCCTTGTAGTGGGGGGGCACACATTTGCGATGGCAGGCGTGGGTCATCCTGGAGGTATGGAGAAAGAAAGGTTGGGAGCCGAGAGGGAAGAAGTCACACGCTTGCCCCGCACCCCACCCCATTGATCTTTCCCCTAGAATACCCATCATCGTTTGGTGTTCAGCACACTCGAATGTCCATGTTGTTTTCACTTTTCTATATTTGTAGATTTTGGGCCAAAATGGGAACCGCCTTAAACCAAGGGAACTACAGAAGGTGACGTTACAGTCTGAATGGAACTCATTGCAAACTGTGTCTACACGGTTGGTTTGTTCGAGCAGTGGTGGTGGGCGGTGGGGGGGGTTAGGATTTCTGGACTCTTGGCACTGCCAGTGTGTGTTCTAGACAACATGGAGATTGGTTTCTCAATTATGACCAGTCATAGAGCTCAGGGGTGCTCAGTATGACAAGACTTCTGCAATTGGCTCCCTGGGTGGGTGGGCCGACTGGGCGTGAACAGAAAGAGCCAGCATGCCCTCTCTCCTTGCAGAGAAGGACAAACAACTGGAGCTTGCTGCCTCTAAGCAGTGACTCTGAAGTTGACCAACCTGTGTGCCAAGTGCCCAGTGCCTGCAGTTAAGAACTGAAAGAATGTGGAAAAAAGCCAGATCAGGATCCAACGCATTTGGAACAAGGAAAAGAACTCATTGATCCCGTGAACTCAGACAACTGAACTGTGTACGCCTAATGTTTTTTCATTACCCTTAATTCCAATGCTTTTTGGCTTTATCCGTTTGCCCGCATATGTAGGAGGTTAAGAAGGGACTAGAACTATAAAGTGATGACTCATATGTTGTCTGCCTGTAGTTAACAGATTTTTTTCTGATAAATAGGGAGTTCATGCTAAGTGCAGAAACCTGGTCAGTGTTTTCTGTTAAGTGGACTCCATCAGGCAGGAAAATGACAGGACTTCCAATCATTTGACTAAATCTTTTAACTTTTGTTGTTGATTTATACAGTATAGAAGAGACCTTTTGGCATTGACAAGAAGAAAATGAATCCAGGACTGGTAGGGTGTGGATATCAGTGCACTCTGCCTAGTGGGAGAGATTGGGTGCTCGTCTGGGATCACTGTGAAGATTAGGGTGCAGGGTTAGTCAGGGATAAAGGGTTAGAGGAAGCAGGAGGTTTTACATACTTCTTAATCAACCTGTTTTGAGAGGTTATGGCCCACCTTTGGAGCAGGCGTAGGGGTGTCCTGTACCTGCTCACTTGTACCTGAACACACTAAGCGGCCCATGCCTGCTTACAAGATGGTAGACAGAAGCAAAGCAGCCTGCTCACACACTGAAATACAACGGTACCTTTGAACAGAACCACGAGAAGGTCAGTAAAGGAACGCTGTATGTTCCCATCCGAGATAGTTCTGATAAAAGGTTGCCTTAGGACAGAAAAATGACCAAATCCAGCTTTATTAATGAAAGGATAATTGTCCCAGTAAATGAACAACATCAGGTGCTAGACTAGATCCTAAAAGCTACAAGGATAACAGCTGAAGTTGTTTTGTAATAAACAGTTGCCTCTTTGAAGCTACCAGCAATAGTAAATAGTTTCCAGCTAAAAATGCTCTAATCTTAGAAGTTGGTTTCAATACATATTATCAGTCACAGATTTATGGTTAACAATTGTTTTAGTGCAAAATGCTGTAAATGAAACAGTTTCCAAACATCTCCACCCTTCTGTGTGTTCACCGGTTTCCTCATTTCACTCCTGAACTGTTTGAGTTAATTTTCAGAACCCAACGTATGAGACTCCCCCAACAAATGGAAACGTTTTCTCTCTATCTGAGCAGGGCTCTAAGTAGATCCGTTCATTACATCTTCACCCCTGGGGCTCATCCACAGGTTTCCCACAGGGTGAAGGGTCAATCTCTGACCCTAGCATATCTACCTCAGATATCCCCCCCCAGTCTGAGGAAGGTGGTTCTCAAAACCTCTGGTGCCAGCCGAACTGCCATGGATAGCACTCTCTCTCGAAGTGAAAATACTGCGACTTAAGGAACCAGTTCAGAGAATTAACCCCAAACACACTGGCAAAAATTCTAAGGGTCGGTGCCGAGGGAGCGCCGCACCGTCGGAGGGTCGGTGCCGA